ACAGAATTTATGGTTTCTTTCTTTTAAGTGCCACCTCAAGTAATGTGGAGGTGGAAAAACCAGTAGACTGGGGACTTCAAGTCAGAAGATCTTGGTTCCAGCCCTAGTTCTTCAAACTAACTTTATGGTGTGTCCCTGGGCCAGTTACTTCTCTTCTGGGTCAGAGGTTCCTCACTTAAATCTTCAAGTCTGAGGCTTAATACAAAACTGTCTCAGAGAAATTCCTCTAATGGATATCAACTTCTGATAAGTATCACATACTTTTAAAAAGGCTTTTAATGGCAGCCTTAAAAAAAAAAAAGCACTTTGTTATAAGCTTTTCATTATTAATTTGCTCACTTTTTTTCACTCTGTTTTTATATCTGTTAATGTTTAGTTTAATTCATGTGGATTATTAAATTATTAATCAATGAGGTTTAAATCTATTAGTATTCACTGCACTGAACTAATTAAAATGAGATTTTTGGAAGAACAGCAAGGTTTCAATTCAGCCTATTCTCCATTACTTATTGTATTGCGTTCAGTATTATGAGGTTCATACTTTATTTGCTGTCTTGTCACTTTCACTTAGTTTTGCAAAGTTCTGTTCAGGCACAAGATTCACAATGGTATTTAACATGATATCATCTCAGATGGTTTTATATGCTAATGTATGTTAGCAAATTAATGAGTAAATTTAGGTAAGGAGACAAAAATAAAAATTTAAGCCATTCTCACCCTTGATACTGAAAGGGGAATATGACAAACCTCATAATAAAGGAAGTAAGAGATGAAAAGGAAATCTTATAACTACTTCCAAGTTTTTCTCAGTCTTGGCCTCAGGAAAACATCTATATAATATAAATATAAACCTGTTTACCTTTTCCTGGGAGAACCATTTTTCCAGTACAAGAAACCAGACCCAGGCTAATCTTTGAGGGTTGATGTCCTGTCCACATCTGAAAAACGTAAAAAGAAAGAATTTCTAAACAAAGAGTTTCTACTGACCTTTACTCTTTTGTGATCCAAGACTTGGATTTCACTGCTTAGTTTCTTTTAAACCTAACCAGGCAAGACATTGTCCTAACGAGAAATTTTTAAATGTATATGATAGATCAATAAAACCAGAACAGAGCTAGCAGCTTTCATTAAGGAAAAAAAAGGAAAAAAGTCTCACTCCACCTCCCTATCTAATCTATTATTTTTAAACAAAATAACATCCATAGAAAACCATAAAGGCAAGGCTCCCTGAAGTATATTCTTGAAAAGAGAAACTGGATCAAGTGGCTTTATTTATTTATTTATTTATTTATTTATTTATGATAGTCACAGAGAGAGAGAGAGGCAGAGACACAGGCAGAGGGAGAAGCAGGCTCCATGCACCGGGAGCCCGATGTGGGATTCGATCCCGGGTCTCCAGGATCGCGCCCTGGGCCAAAGGCAGGCGCCAAACCGCTGCGCCACCCAGGGATCCCAAATCAAGTGGTTTTAAAGAACAAAAATACTTTATAAGACTTTATTTTTAAATCTATGCTAAAAACAGGGTTATGGAATTCATAAGGCTTTCTTTGAAGTTAGTAATTTAGACAAACTGGCTAGAACCCAAATATAAGGGGAAAAAAATAAAGAGAAAAAAGAATCACTTAAGTCTCTACTCTGTATGTACTAAAACAATATAGCTGCCAAAGTAAGGTAAAGTGAGGGAGAGAGTAAACAGCACCTTTAATTATCATATCACTAGCTGTTAATAGCATTGCCAGGAAGAGCTTCATTAAAAATTCAGATAGAGAACAGTGGTTGCCAGGGTACAAGGAGGGGTCAAATACAAAGAGGTATTCCCAGGGAGGGAGGGAATTCTTTTGTGGCAAGGAAGAGTTCTGTATCTTGGTTTTAGTGGTAGTTACATGATTCTGTACCTGGATAAAATTGCATAGAACTACACACATACTAACAAATCCACATTAAGAAAGTGGAGTGTAAACTGAATAAGGTCTGTAGTCTAGTCAACAGAAATGTACCCATGTCAATTTCCTGACTTTGACATTGTACAATAGATATATGAGATACCACAACTGGGGGAAGCTAGGTAAAGGGTACTCTTTTTTTTTGCACTTTTTGTGAATGTAAAACTTATGTAGCTTTTAATACAATATTTATATAATTATTTCACAATAAAAGCTTTCAGTGAATTAACTTCCAGTTCTTTTTAAAGCTGTAATATGGGGCAGCCTGGGTGGCTCAGCGGTTTAGCGCTGCCTTCAGCCCAGGGCCTGATCCTGGAGTCTGGGGAATCAAGTCCCACCTCGGGCTTCCTGCATGGAGCCTGCTTCTCCCTCTGCCTGGGCTCATGAATAATGAATAAATAAATAAAATCTTAAAAAAAAAAGTTGTAATATCTTCAATTGCATAGGCAAGAAAAGATCAGGGTTTGTTTTTCTGGAGGCAAAGAAAATGCTTTTCAATGCAGTTCCACCATCTACTTTAATGATAATAATCAAGAAATGGTGGTTTCAGGCACACTACTAGCCAGGCTTAAATGTAGCAGATGATAATTCAAAACCAATACTGATTAAGTAGTAAATATGTATGAGGCAGGCAAATTTTCAGAGCATAGGTGAAATACACTCTGAGAATTCTTCAGAGCATAGGTGAGGGCCCAAATATTGGCCTGGTCTCCCGCCCTGTGACTGCTGGAATGAAGAGACATCCCTTACCTTAGCTGATCTGGACACACCACCAGTGCCTGAAGTATATCTTCCACCTTTTTTGGGATATCCCCCTGTGCCTCGTGTAGTTGAGGTACACAAGCCTGAGCCAGCTCCCATTCTCCTCTGCGAAGGCACTCACAGAAAAACCCAAAAAGTTGCTTCTGAGAAGCAATTTCCTCTTTTCCAAATGGATGATGCATTTTCCCAGCACAGAGTGCAGGGAGATAAAAAGAGATGAATTACGCAGAACACATTGTCAATTTTCTCATTCGTGGAGCACCTCCTAGAAACAATACACACCACAGTGAGGAGAAACGGAAGGAACCTTAATTAGAGAAACTAGTAACTACCAGCCCGGCTGGGAAAAGCGGGACTTACTTCCCTAATTATCGTTTTAAGTTTAACTTGACGTGTTACTCTTTTTGAGGAGTTCCACCTTTCCCCCAAGGGGTGGATCCCATCCCTCTACACGCACCCAGGATTTAACCTTAATGATCGTTTTAGCTCGTGGTGCAGACCCACGAGTCCACTTTCATATTCCCCACTTAACTTTACGCCCATTCCGACTCCAAATCCCCAGGTGGTCGCCTCCTTAGGGATGAGAAATTCAGTAGGAACCTCCCTAGTTTGCGCCCTCTCTTAAGGCAGACGAGTGAAGATCAGAAGAGTCTGTGTCCGAGCTAGAGGACCGTGGGGATTGGGGCTGACGGACGCTCCCTACAAAGGTCGTGGAGAGCGCCCCCGCTTTCTCTAGCGCGGCTTCACTCACCCGCACCCGGTACCCAAAGCAATAGGGCTTCCAGCGCAGCCATGTTTGAGCCGAGTCAGGTGATAGATCCCATTCGGGAGGTTGCCCGACGGCCGGGTGGGGGTGGGGCGATGACCGCCGCTACTCCTATTGGCCAATAGAGAGACGATGCAAACAAGGCGCCATATTTGTTTGGGTCACGTGACGCGAGCTCTTCGGAATAGAGAACACTAGGACCCAGTAAATCAGCTACCTAGCTTGTGAGGACGGTTCCTCTCAGTTTTGACCCCACACCCCCGCTCGACACCTTGTTTTGCTTTCGGCGGAGCAGGTGGCAGGAATATCAGTGTCCCTTGATTTTTTTTTTTCCTCTTCTCTCTTTTAATTCCCCTGCATTTGAAGTCAGCTTTTACTAAGTGCTAGCCAGTGACAGTGTTTTGCCAGGCCTTGGGGGATACGAGAGTAAGGAAATCTGGATCCTCCTCCTTTGTTCTTCTGCTTGGGCTCTCTTATAATCCCAGAATCCTACGTCCTGAATTCCAATTTTCTGCCTAATTCTACTAATTTATTTGCTTGTTTACCTAACAATTGTTCGTTGAACGGGGTGCTGGGCCCTACTTTATAGGCTGAATAGGTTGCGGACCCTGTCCTCAAGGAGCTCACAGTCCTCTGAGGAGTGCAGGCTAGTAATTAGGATAAGGTAGGCTAAATTATAAGATAGTGTGCACCGCAGGGATGAGAGCAAAGAATGAGCAAAAATAATAGTGTAGATAACAATAATAATAATATATTACTATAATAATATAATCAATAGTGATTCTAGTTTTTGCAAATATAATATGTTACCTGAAACTGGTCTTAAAGCAACAGTTTACTAAGCTTCCTTATCACAGCTGCTTTTACACAGAAACTTCTGTTTGGTTTCCTTCATGATCTTAAACTACAGACTCTTACATTGCCCCATTATGTGTTTTCAATTTGAGCAATTAAGCATTTCCCAAACTATTTCCCACCAAAGTGTGGTTAAAAAAGCAAATCAGGGGCGCCTGGGTGGCTCAGCGGTTAAGGGTCTGCCTTGGGCTTAGGTCATGATCCTGGGGTCCTGGGATGGAGTCCCGCGTTGGTCTCCCTGGCTAGGGGGAAGCCTCCTTCTCCCTCTGCCCCTCTTCCTGTGAGCGCGCTGTCTCAGATGAATAAATAAAATCTTAAAAAGCAAAGACAAAACCAAGTCCTCTTTCAGAACCTCTTCTACCATTGGGGGATTCTTTATTCCCTGAGAACTAACATGTCTCTTTGGTCCGTTACACGTTTCATAAATGAAGTGACAAAAGAAAGAAAAGGGACCATTCCAAGCAAGGTTTTCCTGGCTTCATTCTCTCATAGCTGATGATCCTCTACAGGATTTTGATCATCACTGTATGGAGACACTATCCGAAACTCATTGACCGATTATAGTGTGAACTACAATTCCCAGCAAGCAGTGGAGCCCACCCGGGACTCTTCCTGCCTCTGATTGGATATTCCTCCAGGGCGACGACCCAATCAGCGTTTGGGTTGTTGCTTTGCGGCGCTTTCCGCGGGGAACCGTGAGGGGTGGGGGAAACTTTGAAAGTTGGATGCTACAGACCCGGTACTGGAAAGTTTCGCGTGGGGGGCGTTTGTGGGGAAATGGGGGGTGCGCTCATTATTTCCTGCTCCTTCTTTGGGCCCCTCTTTGTGTTATGGATTTCAGGATAGCCGAGAATCTCTCTTTGGTCCAGTACATTCCTCCTTAGGCCTATACGCATCTTAACAGGAACCCTGCCGCGAGTCTGGGGGCTTCTGGCCTTCTTTGTGGGGGATGCTGGGACACTGCTCCTTGTTGGAAAAAGTTCTTTTTAGGGGATTCTAGGTGACCTTTTGGCCTCTTGATGCCCACCTCCCCTCTGCCATTTGCGGGCTGCTTGGGTCTCGGCAGGGGAGCCCGTCATTAAGGGAAGTCTGGGGTCCGCTCGCCTTCTGGTGGTGTTGAAGAAGACGTAGTTAAAGCGAGGAACCTGGAGTTTGATCTCTGGATTCGAAAGCGGACTCAACCATTTGCTAGCTGATAGAATTTGCACAAGTTTTTCAACTCAATGTCTCAGTATCCTTAGTCTGAAAAAGGAGGTTAAAATATCTGGTGGAAGCTTTTGAAACAGTACTTGGCACGTAATAAGAGGTCAATAAGTATGAGCTATTATCGTTACTTGGCAGTTTTCATTGAACCTCTTACGTGAGGATTTTTGTTGAGGAGGGAAGGTTTCAGTCTTCAGGACAGAGCATCTTCCCTCGCCCCTGTTTACATGTGCAGGCATGCGCACGCGCACACACACAGCAGGCATTTAAGTCTGGTGGGGGGAAAAAAAAACCACACGAGCTGTGACAATACGTTCATAAGGTTATCCAATAAATATGTGCAAAATATGGTGAGAGCGTTGGAGAGGAAGAGTGAGCTGGCGGACGGCAGGCTTCGTGGAGAAGAGTCAGAGTCAGGGAGTCGGGGCTGACTGACCATTGTGTATGTGACCTACTAACATATTACAGCTGGAGAGCAGATGAGTGAGGCGGCAAATGATGTGTTGCTGAATCAACACATCATTGGTAGTGTTAATGATTGTTAACCTTGAGCTATGTGTGTCAGGCGCCATCCAAATCCTTTAACCTTCACTACATTCTTAATGAGGTAGATATTTGAATTACCCTTGTTTTACAGATGAGGAAACAAACACCAGGGGGTGAAGTAGCTGCCAACAAGACCAGGATCTAGGCCTTGCAATCAGTTGTACGACTGAGAGGGAAGTGAGAGACCATTTGGTGAAGGGGCTTCATGCGGTCTTAACTGTGGAATTTATCCCATGGTCTAATGGTTCCATGGGTAGTTGTAAAGGATGACAGTGATAGGTTTGGAGGAAATTTTTAGGTGGCTATCTCTCGCAGGATCTGTGGCACTGACCTGATTTTTGCAGACCAGTTTGATATTTCTTTCTGTCCACTTCCATAACACCTTTAAATGCCAATGACAGACTTACTGCATGACTGTAATTATTTGTGTATACACATCTTTTCACCTTTTACTGTGAGTTCCCAAAGGGTCGGGAATATGCTTAATTGATTCTCTTACCCTGGGGCTCAGCAGAGTGTGTGATTAAGAAGTGTCTGCAGAAGGAGCAGATTAATGATTTTTTTTTTTTTAATGATTCAGGGAATACCCAGGGCAGTGTGCAATAGTGCAGGCTAATGATGGGAGTGGCCCTAATAAGGCTGTGATAGCAGAGTTGGTATTGTTAAAGTTCAGGTAGTTTGGGTTCTCCTTTTTGATTGAATTTATCAGTCTAAATGGTGTTACTGCCCAGAACTCCCTGATTCGTAAAGACACTAGGAAATGATACAGCAGGTATCACTTGGTTAATTATTTGAGAAACAAATCAATACTGACAAATTCCCACTGAGAGAAATGAGCGGGATATATTTTGTGTTTGGGAAGTGTGTGTGTATGTGTGCAAGTACAGGTGAATGTGAGAAAGAGAGCAGGGGGGAGAGGGTTCATTTGAGAGAATGTAGATGTTATGTAGGAATTTGGACCATGGTATTGGAAATAAACATGTATCTACATTCTTAGGACTGTACTTTTGTTTCAAAATGTCACCCCTCTTCTGATAAGTATTTTGCTTTTTCCCCTGAACAGCAAAGAGTTTCTTGTACTACTATATCCAGAGCATATCTTGCCATCTCAGCCTCTCCTTTGCATGCATTATGAAAGGAATTGGAGATTATGTTCTAGTTCTTTGAAGGCAAATATTTCATGAGCCTCTTAGCCATAGTGAGGTTCAACAAGAAGAGTGAAATTTAGTTGCATGTGAGAATGTGAGCAGCTAAGACAATAAAAAACAATTTCAGGTTGTAAATAAGACCTGAAATAATCTCATTTGATTCGGAGATTTACTCTGCCTCATAGAAAAAGGAGAGGTTAAATATGATTATGGACTTGTAGTAGGATGTAATGGTTGAGCGGATAAGCCTTAGAGTTTCAGACTTCCTGAGTTGAAATTCTGGATCCACCATTGCTTTTATTGGTGATAATGAAATAGTTAACATTTCCAGGTTTTAGTGTTCTCATGGGTAAAAATTGGATCAATAATCAAATGTCTAGATAGGGCTGTTGAGAAGATTAAATGTGATAATTTAGTAAAGCTTTGAAACAGTGCCTGGTACATAGTAGGTGCACAGTAAATTTATTATTACAGTGCAATGAAAGTAAAGACTTTCTAAGGAGTGCTGCTTGGAAGTATTCCCTGAAGGTTAATTATATATCCAAATAAAATTTTAAAATGCATTGAAAATCTTAAGATGCTATACAAATGTGAAGTGGTAGCTTTATATTCATATAAGAAATATCAAAGAATTGTGGGAAATGTACATTCTTACATTGTCTTGTTTTTCTTTGTGCATGTTTGGTAGACATTTAGATTCTGTAGCCTTCCTTTATTAGTAATATTTTAAAAACTATACATTTCATTTTGCAACTGGAGAAGTTTGAAGACTTTTTTTATTTTGTAGAGTGTTTTGGATAGCCTGTCTACTATTGCTTATATTCTTTTCCAATGCTTTCCAGGGTTCTTTTTCGCTGCATCCGAAGCCATGAGTAGCAGGAAGCTCAGACGAGTGGGTTTATCACAAGAGCTGTGTGACCGTCTGACCAGATATCAGATTGTTACCTGTCAGGTAAAACTTATGTACTTTTTCTCATGGAGAAACCTTAATAACTCTAAAATAAGCCTGAAAAATGAAAATGTAACTTTCTAAAAAAATAAAAAGATGAATGATAGTGCTTCTTCAGAAGCCAATTTAAAATAATAGACCAAAAAAAAAAAAAAATAATAGACCACTGAGGTTGTATTTCCAAATGTGACTTCATTTATCCAGATTCCAATATGTTTCCATTTCGGATCGGGGGTGAATACTTACAGCATAATGTGAAGTATACGCATGCCATTTATTTGGGATTCTAGAGAAGTTTTCGTCCACTTGAAAGAATGTTTGCAGTTATATGAGAGGACTCAAATGAGGAGATAGTATTCAAAATGGATAATATCTCTTGCAAGCCAGATAAATTAACGAATCATTTTCCTATCAATGAATGAGAGAAATGGATAGAGCAGATGTTGCATTTTTAAGCACACTAGTGAACTTCCTTCTTAGGAGGTTAAATAAGGTTTTGTGTTAGGATTTAATCCTTAATAAGACAGATTTTCAGAGTATGCTGCAATTTTTAAAAATTGCTTTGTGTGTTGATGGTATTTCTATTTCCTCTGTTATACATTTAATAATCCTCATGTTCATGCTTAGAAATACTCTTAAAAGTATGAGATTTAACATTTAATTCTATAGTCAGTTTCATTGTCTCAATTATTAAATACTTCCTCTGAATGATCTTACAGCTTAGCAAGAAACCTATTTCAACCTGACACTTTCTGGTGTTTGTTTGTGCCCAAACTCTAACACAGGGCAGTGCTCATATACACTTGGGTTGGAGGCTGCTGCTATGTGATGTTATTTGGTGTATGCTAACTACATTGGAGAATTAGTTAAGTTTATGGCATCATATCTTTCAGTTAAGGCATATTTGGGGGGAAGTACTATAAGAAACATACAAGTCTTTGATCTACAACAAGTTATGCTTTATCTACACATGGACGGTGTCCATTGAAAATTTCCTTTTAATTCCAGTATCTTTGTTGCACGTATATGTTTAAAATAGTCTCTTTATGTCTTTTTAGGACTTTTTATGTCTTTCCCCACTGGAACTTATGAAGATGACTGGCCTTTGTTATAAAGGTGTCCATGAACTTCTGTGTATGGTGAGCAGGGCCTGTGCTCCAAAGATGCAAACGGTATATATGTGTATTTTATTATAATTTGATTATGATTTTTATTTTGAGATGATTCTTTATCTCATTAAAATCTTTTTTAAGGAGTGCCTAGATGGTGCATTCAGTTAAGTGACTAACTCTTGGTTTGGGCTCAGGTCATGATCTCAGGGTCATGAGATTGAGCCCCACATTGGGCTCCACTCAGTGCAGAGTCTGCAGAGTTTTCTTGAGACTCTCTCCCCCCTCCCTCTGCCTCCCCCTCCTGCATGCACACATGCATGTGCATACTCTCTCTCTCTCTAAAATAAATAAATAAATCTTAAAAAAATTAAAATCTCTTTTGGGATGAGGCAAAATCAAAAATAGAGATGAACACCTCAAAAATATTGACTCGCACATCATTGAGTTAGTCCTTTCATGAGAATATATGTGAAAAATTTATGTAGTTTATAAGCTTACAGGAGACAGTTCATAATTATGGGAATGAGGAAGCAGCAGGAAGTTTTTTCTGTGTAGCTAATAGTAATATTTCAAAAGGTCATCTTTGTCTTTTGTTTGGGTAGGATTTGTGGACCTCACAGTTATATTATAATATACTCCTAGTTTTAGAATGCCCTGTCTATGTAATGCTAACTTATCATCATTAGTCTACATCACAGAGTACACATATTGGATTTATGCTTGCTTACTGATTGAACAAATAATACTAAAAACTTTGCTTCGTCCTGAGAAGAGTCTTTTATAACAAATCCTCATTAGGTAGTACTATTATTTTATACTTCCTGTCTCATAACTTACCTTTTCAACATATTGGTTTAGTGCATGGTAGACAAGATCTTGTTTTCCCAGAATGTGATGCCTAGAAGTCTGTTCAGTGATTTGCAAATGTATTTATTTGGATGGATTGTAGATTACTTATCTTACGTCTTATATTGAAATTTGGTAACCAAGGGGCAATAAAGTGGAGTTCAATTCTATGAAGTTGGAAAGAATGGATGTTAGTGTCTTTTGAAACTTCTGAAGTTAATGAATAGATAAAGTATTTTCTTTTGTTCAGATTTAGCTTGTGATCTAGGAAAATACATCAAATGCAGAGTGGTCAGAAGAATTAGAATTGGAGTTAGGGATTGGCACTGTCTTACCTTTGTCATTGACCTCAGAGCTTTGAACGGCGCACTTTTTTTAGGGGAGAAATAAGAGGGCTAAAATAGTAAGGAATAATTCTGTGACCAGGTTCAAATTAGTTTGTTGCTATTTTGAAGGTTGTAAAGTACTAAGAAAGTGTTTTAGTTTGATGTGTGTCCTTCGGTTAGGTCAATATCTGTGGCATATTTCTAGTTAGAGAATTAAAATCCAGAGTATTTGCAGGAAATTCACCTTTAGTGTCCACTCCCGCAACCACTTCAACCGCAATATCAATACCATTCCAAACACTGGCTCAGAAGCTGTCTTTCTCCTTTGTTCGAAGTTCCATCCTGTGAATTCTGAATCAAATTCTGTCGATTCCAATCTTATTTTAAACATTGGATTAGCTTCAGTCCATTTTTCCAGGGAAGATTTTTTTGTTCATTTGTATATTCCTTTAACTATTATTTATTGATTGCCAGCCATGTATTAGGTACTCTGGGGATATTGTAGTGAACATGGTAACATCCTGCCCTCATGCAGCTTACAGTCTAGTGGGAGAAGTCAGACATTACACATATAATAATGTAAATAATTAGTTGCTTGAAGTAATGATAAGTTCTATCAAGGAAAAGTACAAAAAGCTCTGAAACTTAATAACAGGGTACATTACTTAGTTCAGAGGTCACAAAGGGCTCCCCCTAGGAAGTGACACTAACTAAAACCTGAAGCTAAAACCTTTTTTTTTTTTTGATATATGAGAACTATTACATTTAAAAAAATAATTTCAATTAACCAAGGAGACAAAACAATGGAACTATGTAGCAAAACACAAACTTTCCTATATATATATATATATATATTTTTTTTTAATTTTCTCTTTTTTAAAAAAAATTTTTTTTTTTAAATTTATTTATGATAGTCACAGAGAGAGAGAGAGAGAGGCAGAGACACAGGCAGAGGGAGAAGCAGGCTCCATGCATCGGGAGCCCGACGTGGGATTTGATCCCGGGTCTCCAGGATCGCGCCCTGGGCCAAAGGCAGGCGCCAAACCGCTGTGCCACCCAGGGATCCCCAACTTTCCAATATATTAATTTAAAAACATACTATAATGTTATGGAAGAAGACTAATATTTACCTGAAGAAGAAACTTCAATTAAAACTTCTAATATTCATGTGGATTTTATAAAAACGATATGATAAAGGCAACAGAAATATAAAATAGGGGAGATATAGGCAAAGTTGGGAAGGAGGTGAGAATGGAGGAGTCTGCAGGCAGTGGGATCAGGAAGTGCAAAGGCCCTGTGAGGAGAAGAAGAGCACTTACCTGGCAGTAAAATCAGGGTGAAACGAATGGAACATAACGGTGAGGGGCAGATTGGCCTTGGAGATAAAGAAGTAAGCAGGAGTCAGATCATGGGGCCTGCAGACCCTGTAAAGGATTTTGAACTTTATTCCTAGAGCAATAAAAAGTCATAAAAGAGTGTAATCTGTGTTTTTAAAAACGCAGTCTTGAACATAGATAAATGATTGAAAAGGAGCAGGAAAATATTTGTGAAAACCAATTAGGTATCTACTTCTGTATTCCAGACAGAAAGTGATTATGACATGGATTATTAGCGTAGTATCTGTGCAGATGGCATAATGTCAGTTGTTGATGAGAGATATTTAGGAGGTAGAATGAATAGGATTGATGATTGTTTGCTTATGGGTGGTGGTGAGAAACAGGAAAGTGATAGATGATTCCTTGATTTTTGTTTTGGCAAACTGGGTAGTGCCACTTCCTGAGATGAGGAATGCTGTAAGAGGATCAGGCTTGAGGGAGGCAGATCATGAATTTAATTTAGTACTTATTTAATGTAAGGTGCTTGTGAAATAGTGAGTGGAGATGTGAAGCAGGCAGTTCACTGCATGGACCTGGAGTCTGAAGGAGAGGTCTGTAGTAGCAGAATGCATTTGGGAGTCATCAGTGTAGATACGATAATGAGATCGGCATTTCCAACACCAACTCCTGAGAGAGGCCAACACTTTAAGATCAGATTAGATACTGATGTGTCTGAGAAGCAGCAGCCATCAAAGTAGAAGAAAAACTGGTGGGGAGTGGCATACCAAAATATTCCCTTTTGTTTCATTTATGTACATACTGCCATTTCTGAAGTCTGATTCTGTTTGTTCATTTTAGTCTTTTTTTAAATATGTGTCACTAAATCTATTCTAGTGATGACTGTACTTACAGTTGCAAAGGAAGTATTTTAATGTTAACAGAATGGGCAGCCTTTACATGTTTGATAAAATGTCCCCAGACCCACTTGTCTGGCATCAGTCTGATGATATATTGTGGACGATACTTAGATATTTCTAAATCTGATGCATACCAAATGCCACAAGACTTTTTCTTCTGTAGCTTTTCCAATTTTTTTAATGCCTTGAGTATAGACTTAGAAAAGGTGATAATCCATGGTTTAACTGATTTAAGAATTTAATAGGTGAGATTAGATAGCAGTGGGCACATTTATGTCCTATAAATATTAATATGCTGGTTTTCCTAGATCTTCACAGAAGCAGAAGAGCCTTGGATTTGATATACAGATTTATTAAGTTGTAAACTTTAAGTGGTTAGAAACTGTCTCTATTCCCAGAGTTTGTCATAGTATATGGCATGCAGTAGCTACTCAGTATTTGTAGAATAAACGAATGAATGAATAAATGAATAATTATAATCCTGTGGCTTCACCTCAGTTTATTTGGGCAATTTAATAAAATAGTAGTAATTTTTAATGTTAGAAATTGCAGAGGCAAGCATTTGTAAACATTGCCAGGTACGTAATCACATTAATCACATCTTTATAGGCCCTTTTTTAGAAGAAGGTAATATTCACAGGTTCCAAGGATTTGATGCAAGTATCTTCTGGGGGCTATTTCTCAGCCTACCGTACCTACCTTTAAGCTATTCTTCACAGACCAACCTTGGTTTGAAAAGATAACTTGACCATATTATTTCTTGTTCTTGCATGGAACCCAGACTTCAACAAGGCTCTTTCGTGATTTGGCCGCTGCTTATTTCTCCAGCCTCATCACTGGCCCCACTGTAACCACACTTCATCTTTCAAACTGTTCTAAATGAATTCTCTCTTTTTTTTTGTAGATTTTATTAGTTCCCATTTTCTCCCTTTCCTTGTACGTTCTGTCTCTTTGGCAGGAGCATGCATGATTTCCTTTGTTTAACAGCTATTTCACATTTTAGCTCAGACATCCAGCTCTTCCTGAAGCCTTCCTGGATCACAAAATCCATAGATCAGGTATACTGTCTCTGCGTCCACTTTCCCAGTCATGGCATCTCTAATAACTGTATTGTAATTGCCTGGTTTCCAGTACTGCTTTCAATCACTGGGTGACTCTACGTGCTGTGAGGGCAGGGGCTCTATCTCTTCTGTCATATCCCCATTGTCTGGCACGGTCTCTGGCATGGAGTAAATATTTGTTTAACGAATAGATGTTTGAGGAAAAGAGAGATGGAATGGGGTTCCAGCTGCTAGAAATTGAGATTTGGAGTTGTTTCTGGTTTTGAATAGACACAGAGACTGAAAAGAATGCCTTCTTTTTCTTGCTCAGGCTTATAGGATAAAGATGGAAATGTCTGCTTCTCTCTTGCCCGCATTCTTAGCTACAACCCTTTCTGCATTGGATGAAGCCCTGCATGGTGGTGTGGCTTGTGGATCCCTCACAGAGGTAAAGGAGAAACTTTCCAAACCTCCCATTGACCTATTATCTTAAGAGCCAGGGGAGAAAGATTAGTTGAAAAACAAGAATTATTTCATACCTCAAGGGTGTGGTTCTCCACTTAGTACCTACTATAGGTGTTTGCAAAAATAAAGATACTCAAAATAGTCCTTACTGACCACCTGAAGTTTGCTTAGGTTACTATTTCTTCAAATTCGCTTAGAAAATGATGAATGTTATGAAATAGTATGAAACAATTTGGGGGAATTAAGGAATACTTAATGTATTAGGAGTATATTAGCATACAGAAAGAATATTAGAGTATTAGGAAGGAAAATTTGAAATTTGATTAACGTGGGAAAATCATAGTATTAAACTGAAGTGAACTATTTTTAGTTTCTGTTGTAGATAAAATTTGGTTCTAGGATATGATAGGTTGTGTTAGTTATGTATTGTTACACAACAAATTACTTCAAAACTGAGTGGCTTGAAACAACAATTATTACTTATTATTTCTCTTTCTTTGGGAGTGGGCTTAGCTTAGAGATATCCGTGGGGAATGCAGTATCTTTTTTTATTTTTTAATTTTTTTAAATTTTTGACAGAGAGAGCTCGAGTATGAGTGAAGGGAGGGACGTGGAGAAACAGAGTGCCTGCTGAGCAGGGAGCCTGTTGTGCAACTTGATCCCAAGACTCTGGGATCATGACCTGAGCCAGAGACAGACACTTAACCGACTGAGCCACCCAGGTGCCCCTGGGATGCAGTATCTTGAAAGCTTGGTGGGGCTGGAGGATATTTCCAAGGGGGCTCACTCATGTGACTGGGAAGTTGATGCTGGTTGTTGGCAGGAAGTTACAGTTCCTCTCCAAGCAGGCTTGAGTTCCCCATGACATGATGTTTGACTTCCCCAAGGGTGAGTAATCCAAAAGAAGGCAAGATGGAGGGGGTGATTCCTTTGATGATGTAGCTGTGTAAGTTATATACTGTTAACCTCTGCTACATTCTCTTCCTTAGAAGCAAGTCATTAATACAGCTTATGTTCAAGGAAGAGAAATTTGGCTATACTTTTAGAAAGGAGTGTCAAGAATTCAAGGACTTTTTTTTTTTTTTTTTTTTTTTTATCTTCTCTTTTTTTATGGGGGGAATGGGCAGAGAGAGAGAAAGAATCTCAAGCAGGCTCCATGCAGTGCTTGATCTCCAAACCCTGAAATCATGACCTGAACCAAAATCAAGATTTGGATGCTTAACTGACTGAGCCACCCAGGTGCCCTGAGGACACTTTTTTTTTAAAATTTTTATTTATTTATGATAGTCACAGAGAGAGAGAGAGAGAGGCAGAGACACAAGCAGAGGGAGAAGTGGGCTCCATGCACCAGGAGCCCGATGTGGGATTCGATCCCGGGTCTCCAGGATCGCGCCCTGGGCCAAAGGCAGGCGCCAAACCGCTGCGCCACCCAGGGATCCCCGACACTTTTTTTTTAATTGAATAAGTTTGACATGTAACATTGTATGAGTTTAAGGTTTTCATCATGTTACTTTAATATATTTATATTGTAATATGATTGCTGGTATAGCAATAATTACTATATTACATAATTATAGTACAATATTGTCTATATTCATTAGACTGCATTAAAACGCTATGGCCTATTTACTACTCATTTAAGTTTGTACTGTTAAACAGCATCACTTTTTTTTTTTTTAAGATTTATTTATTTTTAGAGAGAGACAACATGTTCAGGTGAACAGGGAGGCATGAGGGGCAGAGGGAAAGAATCTCAAGCAGATTCCCTGCTAAGTGTGGAGCCTGACATGAGACTCCATCTCACACGACCCTGAGATCGTGACCTGAGCTGACACCAAGAGTCGACACTTAACTGACTAAGCCACCCAGGCACTGCAGATACCATCACTCTATCTCCCCATCCCTATCTCCTGTTAACCATCATTTTACTCTGTTTTTTTTACAGGTTTAACTTTTTTTAGATTCCACATATAACTGATGTGCAGTACATATCTTTATCTGACTTATCTTACTTAGTGTAATGTGCTCAGGGTTCATCCATATTGTTGCAAATGGGAAGATACCCTCCACTCTCGTGGCTGAGTAATATTCCACTGTGTATGTATGCCACATTTAAAGATCCATTCATCTGTGATGGGCATTTAGGTTGTTTCCCTTTCTTGGCTATTGAGAAGACTGCTGTAATAAACATTAGAGTGCAGATATCTTGGTGAAATCATTTTTATGTCCTTTGGGTATATATATCTAGAAGTGGAATTGCTGAGTTGTATGTAGATGTATTTTTAACTTTTTTAAGGAACCTCTATATTGTTTTCCATAGTGAAATGGAGGACATTTAAAAGCTGCCACAGTTCTTTTCCATGCAAGCTGCATTGGTGTGCTTATTGGTCCTGGTGTGGTTACTCAGTGGACTTACCTGGATATTCCTGAGGCACTACCTGCTTGAGAATTCTAGGAGCATAGATACTTTAAGCAAACTTGTAAGCAAGAGCAGAGTCTTATATTCTTTTTTTTTTTTTAATTTTATTTATTCATGAGAGACACACACAGAGAGAGGCAGAGACACACAGGCAGAGGGAGAAGCAGGCTCCATGCAGGGAGCCTGATGTGAGAATCAATCCCAGGTCCCCAGGATTATGCCCTGGGCTGAAGGGGGCGCTAAACAGCTGAGCCACCTGGGCTGCCCAAGAGCAGACTCATATTCTGATAGTCATAAATTTAATTGTATATTTTTTTCCTTGAAGATAGGCACTCTGTTTTAGATACTATACCTTATTTTATTTCCTGTCTTCTGAGAAAGATTTAAAAATGTGTGTGTGCTATGCTTTGAGGATGTCTATTAAATAAATGAGTGAATCTTTAAAAGAAACAAAACACCCCGGCTGTTTCAGGTTACTGCCACCAGATGGTGCCAGAATCCTATTATCTGTAATGTTTTTACACCCTAGCTGGACCTCTGTTCAAATGAGTTTATAACAGCAGTGTTCCGCAGTTATAAACTTTTTTTTAAAAATATTATTAATTATTTATTTATTTATGATAGTCACAGAGAGAGAGAGAGAGGCAGAGACACAGGCAGAGGGAGAAGCAGGCTCCATGCACCGGGAGCCCGATGTGGGATTTGATCCCGGGTCTCCAGGATCGCGCCCTGGGCCAAAGGCAGGCGCCAAACCGCTGCGCCACCCAGGGATCCCCCGCAGTTATAAACTTATCTAAATAGTAAAAACTGAACTTAAGGAAGATTAAAAAAAGTTACTTTTTTGGTTTTTAAGTTTTTAAGTTTTAGAATAATTTTTTAATGCTTTTTCACTTGGCTTTTGTCAATTCTTTCTGAATCCAAGTGGTAGTTATAAGCCATGTTGTTTTGTCATGTTCTACTTGGTTGACTTGGAGCATAAATATCCTGACTGCTTATTACTGGCAAGTTCTTTACTTTCTGTTTTAGTTACAGGTAGTCTATTCAGTTATCTTGGGTTTTTTTTTTTCAGCTGTTTACCTTTTATTAATAAAATTTTACTGTATATTTTATGTATATAAGATTAAAAATATCCTGCGTGTGTAAGAAATGGAGTCTTATGACCTGGTGGCTTAATAAGAACCAGAGCAATACAAAAACCATCGAAACTGTGGGCTTCTTCCTGGTCCTATCTTTGGCCTCCTATTGAGATGTAATCTGTATCCTGAATTTTTACCATGCCTATAATTTTTTCCTTATAGTTTTCTTTTATTGACTATGTACTTAAATATGAGATATAACAACATTTTACTTAGTTTTGCTTAATTTTGAGCTCTGTTAAAACATATCTCTGTGATTAAATCATATCATCTCTCTTCCATGAATTGTCTTTTTTCACTTAATACTTTTTTTTCCCCAAGATTTTATTTATCTATTCATGAGAGAGACAGAGAGAGGGAGAGACACAGGCAGAGGGAGAAGCAGGCTCCATGCAGGGAGCCCAATATGGGACTCAATCCTGAGTCTCTAGGATCACACCCTGGGCTGAAGGCAGGCGCTAAATCACTGAGCCATTCAGGCATCCCAATAGTGTTTTCTAAGATTTATCCATGTTGTTTCAGGTAGTAGGAGTATAATTTCCTCTCACTGGTGTATCATAATCCATTTTGAAAATATGCCACAATTTATATATCTTTTTTCCTATGAGTGAACATTATCTTGCTGCTAACATAAAAGAGTCCTGGGAAAATTCTATGTCTCTTGGATCACATGTACAGGTATTTCTCTAGGAGAAAGATTGGCAAACTATTGCCCAGTGATCAAATCTACCTTGATGCCTGCTTTTGCAAATAAACTTTTATTGTAACACAGCTATCCTTATTTTTTTTATTCTTTGCTGCTGTTTGCATGCAGAGTTGAGTTAGTTGTGGCAAAGATCTTATGGTCTTTAAGCCTAAAATATTTACTATCTGGCCCTTGTCTAGGGTATCTACCTTGGAGTGATTTCCTGGTTACAGGCTATGTGCATATTATAATTTTGCAGAATCAGAACACATTGTTTTCCAGAGCAGTTTTTTTTAAAATTTTTATTTATTTATGATAGTCACAGAGAGAGAGAGAGAGAGAGGCAGAGATACAGGCAGAGGGAGAAGCAGGCTCCATGCACCGGGAACCCGACGTGGGATTCGATCCTGGGTCTCCAGGATCGCGCCCTGGGCCAAAGACAGGCGCCAAACCGCTGTGCCACCCAGGGATCCCTTCCAGAGCAGTTTTGCCTGTCTACATTCCTACCAGTGATGTGCAGGAGTTCTTGCTCCATATCTTCTTGCTTTGGTGTCATTAGACTTCTTAACTTATGCCCATCTTTGGCATAGATGATCTTAGTTTTCATTCTTCTGATTACTAATGAGCTGAATATCTTTTCAGAAATCATTTGGTTATTTTAAAAAGAATTTTATTAAGGTACATTTAAATGGTATAAAAACTCAACCATTATTAATTATATAATTAAACTATTCTGGGAAATT